TATATATGTGTGTGTGTGTGTGTTCGTGTGTGTGTATTTGAATAAAAAGAAAGAACAGTAAAATATATAATACGGTGTTCATATAGATATCTTTATTTTTTACAAAATAGTGCTCAATGTAAATTTACAGAGTATTAATATTATAAATTGACTGATTTAAAATATATTTTTTCGCTACACAGTAATAACCATGTTTCGAAAATGGAAGCTGAAAACTTTACATTTTTTAATTAAATTAAAAACATTAGTTCCATTTCATCCTCAAGCCAATTTTGGAGTAACTTAATTTTTTTTATATATTTACAGAGTTTTAACTGCAAGGGAAATTCATAATTCATTGTTTCCAAGGACACAGAGAAATCCAATCATCCAGACAAGGGGCGGCAGCGTGTTCATTTTTATTATTATTAACTTTTGAAGCGTACAAAAGTTGTGACGCTGCACGAACACACTGGCAAGCCTTACCAGTGAGCAAAGTAAAGTGACATAGACTGGCCCGGAAAGTCTCCCAATTTAAATCCAATCGTGAATCTGTGGTCAATCTGCAAGGAACGATTTCGTAGAATGGACGTACGAAGTACTAATATGTTTCATTGGAAAAATGCGAAAACAAAGTAAATGATAACGGAGTCGTTTTGTTTCAATTAATTACACAATGGTGTATGTATCGAGACATGTCATCTTATATCAATTTCAAACTGAACCTTACATTTAATCTGCGCAGTTTCTATCGGTTCTGCTGTCCACATCTAGGGATATCTTGTCTGGTTCTTTTTGGTAGTGTTAGGTTATTGCATGTCCTGTTGATCCAGAGATTGAGTCTTATCTGCTTTGATCTGGGATTGAATTCAAAAAAATTATACTATCAAATTTACGAACGAACGCTTTTATCCATGAGGCTATTTTCTCGTGATTCTGTATTAATATTAGTTTCAATCGCAATTGATGTTGCCAGTTCGATATTCGGTGTAAGATCAGAAAGTATCGGGACTGGGGGGGGGGCTATAATAAGAAAACTACAACATATATTAATTCGTCCTTTAATCTCCTTTGAAGTAATCATCTTCCGATGCCACACATTTTATCTCTCGTCTGGCTGGAAAACTCTCCCGATTTAATCCAATCGAGAATCTGTGGTCAATCTGCAAGGAAAGATTTTGTGGAATGGACATACGAAGTACTAATATGTGCACTGGGTCATGTTTCATTGGAAAAATGCGAAAACAAAGTAAATAATAACGAAATTAGTCGTTTTGTTTCAATTAATTTGCACAACGGTGTAAGTAGGTACCTCCAAAGAAATGCGGAAGCAAATGTTTTATTTATTTTAAGCAAATGCATTAAATGTAATATTTTCAGTAAACAAAATACTTTGCTGTCTCTCAAAATTAATTTAAATGGACTGGAATGAATTTATTTTTTGAAATCGCTAAAAATGACAGATTTTAGTAGCCGTTTTTAGCATGACAATTCTCTCGATTAAAAAAAATTTAAAAAAAAAAAATAAATAAAATGTCGTAACCGAATGCGACACAAGGTCAGTTTAAAGTGGTTTTAACGGAAATTGCTGAAAAATGATTTTATAAGCCTAGCTTAGATGTGACACAAGGCCGAATGACGCGGGATCGAACTCACTACTCAGTCGTAATTTGATCTGATGAGACATGTTTGCTAATCTTTAGACAAGGAGGGTGCAGAATGTTAGAACCAAAGAACAAAAAAGAATTAATGCATAATATGAGTCTTCTTATATTGCAATGAATGTGGGACTCCCATCACAGCTTAAGAATAGACTTGCAGCCACAGAAATAGTTCTACAGAAGGATGCTGAGAATACAATGGGACGAACATGTGAGCAAATATTTGACCAATATTAACCGATTTAAATTTTAATTAATCTGATTTCAGATAAATATTACTTATTTTTAGTTTGAACGATCACAGAAAAGCGGTTTTTAACATACAAATGGGTGTTTTTATTAGGTGTTGAAAACTATTATAACAGATTTATGTTTGGGATTTTTCTCCGAGGGACAATGTAAAAATTACTTGACAAATATAACGCTAGCGTCTTTTTTATATAATTTTTAACTCCGCAATAATGTTAAAAATTTAAAGAATCTAATGTTTTATTGAATTTTATGTATTTTGGCTTTAATTTTGCCATATTTACTGTTCTTATTGTTTGATAATATCGTATATGGGGGTCCGTATTTACCAAAATTTTAAGTCTTTTTAAAATACTGGGTGTAGCTGAAGTGTAGTAAGCTTTTCCACTTACATTTAGTAAATATAGTTTTTAAATAATGACAATATCAACTAACCACTACAAATTCATACAGAATCTTAAATGATTTTAAACTTTATTATCTGTCTATATTTCTGAGATGAGGTATTTGATCGGGTGTGCTTTAACCGAATGGCCTAAGACTCAGCTCACCATAAGGTGGTGTCTCTTAAAAGGGGGGGATGCAGATTCGAAACCCGCTGGGCAGCACATTGTCTTTAATAATTGTCCTCAAGTGTGCAGGCGCTAAGACAATAAACATTGATTAAAATTTAAAAAAAAATTGACGACTATTTTGAACATGGGTAGCTACTAAAAATAAATTTTGAAGGAATAAATATATATAATTTATTCTTGTACAGCCTTAAATTTTATCCCGAAATTGGCCAATTCCGATAGATTTTAGAAAGTGTTCAATACCTTGTCCGTAGAGTAATATTCTGAAACATTATCGTAAAATGATAATAAAAAATGGAATGTTACCAAGCTAACACGGCTTTACATACACACACATATATATATATATATATATATATATATATATATATATATATATATATATATATATATATATATATAAGTAGGGAATTTAGCTTAATTTCTACAGCAGATGTAGTTGTTTTCGGTTGAAATGACAGAGAGATTTTCTATAAAAGCGTGGGAGATGCTTTTTCTCCCTTTCGATATGAACGGGTGAAGCAGACAAAAGAGAAACTTAAGTGTCCTTAGAGACAAGGTGTAAGGCGTCGACACGTGTGTTCTGATAATGATACGTGTTGAGAAAGAAAGAAAGAAAGAAAGAAAGAAAGAAAGAAAGAACCAGCAAAAGAGGGATTAAAGAAAGAAAGAAAAATAAATAAAGAAAGAAAAATCAAACAAAAGGAGGAAGCAAAGAAAGAAAGAAAGAAAGAAAGAAAGAACCAGCAAAAGAAGGATTAAAGAAAGAAAGAAAGAAAAATAAAGAAATAAAAATCCAACAAAAGGAGGGAGCAAAGAAAGAAAGAAAGAAAGAAAGAAAGAAAGAAAGAAAGAAAGAAAGAAAAATAGCCAACAAAGGAAAGAAAGAAAAAAAGAAAGAAAGGTCCAGGAAAAGAAGGGGGCAAAGAAAGAAAGAAATGTCCAGGAAAAGAAGGGGACAAAGAAAGAAAGAAAGAAAGAAAGAAAGAAAGAAAGAACCAGTGAAATGAGAAAGAAAGAAAGAAAAAAGAAAGAAACAATGAGCGAAAGAAAGAAAGAAAAAAGAAAGAAAGAAAGAAAGAACCAGTGAAATGAGAAAGAAAGAAAGAAAGAAAGAAAGGAAAAAAGAAAGAAAGATATAGTGAGCGAAAGAAAGAAAGAAAAAAGAAAGAAAAAAGAAAGAAAGAAAGAACCAGTGAAATGAGAAAGAAAGAAAGAAAGTAAGAAAAAAGAAAGAAAGAAATCGTGAGCGAAAGAAAGAAAGAAAAAAGAAAGAAAAAAAGAAAGAAAGAAACAGCCAAACAAATGGAGGGAGCAAATAAATGCAGGAAGAAAGTTTTAGCTTGTGAAGAATGGCGAACGGTAAAAAACAATAAGTAAAAAGATAAAAATGCGAAATAGTAATGAATGATATGAAGGAAAAAAAGAGAAAGCGAAGAAGAAAGGAAAAATCAAAAACATAAAGAAGAAATGTAGAAAAAATAAAGAAACAAATTAATTCCAGTCAAAGAGAGAAGAAAGAAAGAAAGAAAGAAATAGAAAAAATAACCAGCAAAGGAGAAAATAAATATAAACTTTTACAATATAAATAATAAAAATGATGATCTGAAATTATATTTGCATAATGTCCATTCTGTCTCATGTACATTCTCTGAATAAATTGCGTTAAAAAAATAAAGATTGTGGAGAATACAGAACATTTTCGTGACTGACTGACATCACTACGAGTTCTGTCTGAAAAGTATTAAAACCTTTCATATAAATTTGGATTTCAGGACCTTATCGCAATCAAATCGCGTTTGGGACCTTTGAGACAATTTTCTCAAAGCCACATTTCTAAACAATCTGTGAAAAACTCTTTTAGGATTGCTTCATATTGAGAACTGCAAAGGATAAGGGGAAGTGGAGAGCCATGATCGCCTATGTCCGGAAAGTACACGGCACATTAAAAGAAAGAAGATCCCAAAGTAATTTACGCTTCAGTGTCTGTCTATATTTTTGAGATGAGGTATTATGTACACTATTTACATTATTCGGCCTATTGCCTCATCTTTGTTACAATATATATTACAACGTATCGGCCCTTCAGTATCTGTCAATATTTCTTAGCTGAGGTATTACATTATTTATTTACATTATTTGGACTATTGTCCTCATCTTTGTCGCCATACTTATCCCAAAGTTTCGGCCCTCCAGTATCTGTCCATATTTCTGAGATGAGGTATTATGTACACTATTTACGTTATTCTGACTATTGTCCTCATCTTTGTCGCCATATTTATCACAACGTTTCTTCAGGTGGTTGAAATGTCGAAATGAACCCTTTATTTCGCTCACTAGGATAGACTGTTTTAGTTCCACGTGCCATGTCTAATGGGTGTCAGTTAGGTATTATGTACACTATTTTACATTATTTGGACTATTGACCTCATCTTTGTCGCCATACTTATCACAAAGTTTCGGCCTTTCAGTATTTGTCTATATTTCTGTGATGGGGTCTTATGTCCACTATTTACATTATTCGCTTTATTGTCCTCATCTCTGTTGCCATATTTATCACAACGTTTCGGCCTTTCAGTATCTGTCTATATTTCTGAGATGAGGTATTATGTCTAATATTTACATTAATTGGACTATTGTCCTCATCTCTGATGCCATATCTATTGCAACGTTTCGGACGTTGTACGCTCCGGTCTTCTTCAGGTGGTTGGAATGTCGAACTGAGCCCTTTATTTCGCTCACTGGAGTAGACTGTTCTAGTTCCACGTGCCATGTTTAATGGATATCAGTTATTAGTTATCTCCTGTTAATTTCCCTCTGAAAGTTCTTCACTGTCTTAACCGGGTATTGTACTCACACTATTTGGTTCCTCTCACGTGGATAAAGGCGTTGGTTAGTGGAATGAGAAAAATCATTCATTGTCGATTGAAGAAAGGATCCTGTTTGAAATTCGAAGATTGCCACCAGTAACAGGCACATAAAGAAGCCCGTAATGTTTGACTGTCAGAATGCTCTCAATATAACAAACAAAATAATTGTCGGACATTATCCATTTCATAATATGTGACATCATTTGTTTACATTTAAATACGCATCGAGCAGATATGCATGAATGAGAGAAAATCATGGAGGATTGTAGTTTAAACGCAGTAAAATCGACCGTGATAACCGAAGCGATCATCTGTAGCTAAATAGGTAAAAGCACGTCAGGCTATATGGCAGTTCCGTATATGATACAGGTTCGATTCCTGTCGAAAGACGCATATTTTCTATGAAAATTTCTCGGATATTCAGACCGGTAAATGTCGTTAATACTGTTTATTATAAACAGAGCATTTATTAAATATTTTATTTATAAAAGAACGTATAAATATAAAAAATGTCTTTTTATATATATATATATATATATATATATATATATATATATATAAAGAGATATTTCAACATATTTTGTTAAATATGACAATGAATGTCTATTATGTTTTCTTTGTCAGAATAAAAAATAGTACTATCGACGGTAAATATCTTTGTAAAAATGTCCGTATGACCACTCTGAAGATGGACAATTTTTGTCTTAAACTTTCATCCGAAATTAAAGCAAATATACGAACATTAGAACGACTCATGTTCAGACATAACAGACATTCATTGTCTGTTATATTTAACAATATATGTTTAAATAATGATCTGCTGCCTCAATACACTATACATACATCCATCCATCCATCCACACACACACACACACACACACACACATATATATATATATACACACACACACACACACACATATATATATATATATATATATATTTATATATATGTGTGTGTGTGTGTGTGTGTGTGTGTGTGTGTGTGTGTGTGTGTGTGTGTGTAAAAATATATGGAAAATAGGAAAGAAAACGTTAGGTAAGTAATCCGAAGTTCTTAGTATTTTTGTTTTTATTTTTAAAAACACAGTGCTCAATCCATAAGTAGACCCCAAATTATAATTATTTTCAAAAAATTGAAAAAAATAATTATAAAAAAATAATTATAATATATATATATATATATATATATATATATATGCTGTTTGTGTGTGTGTTTGTGTGTGTAAATAAAGATACCCTGTTTCCAGATAAAACTAAAAAGATAAATATCATTGTCATGACCATCATTAACAACAACAACAACAACAACAACAATAATAATAATAATAATAATAATAATAATAATAAGGGTGATGATTCTGATGTTTACATGTGTGTGTTTTCTCTATTATTCGGGTGAATTAAAGAAGCTATTTTGCTTCTGTGAGGTTTGCCGAGTGGTTCACAGCAAAAGGGCCAGGGTCACGCTTGGATACCTTTCAATTTGGCAAGAACCTGAAATGCGGAAGCGGGAGTTCTCTCCCTTTAATTTACCTGAATCGCTTGGTAATCATTGAATTAATCACTCCCAATCGGCCAATTCATGAAGGAAGACTAGCACAGGCGGACACACAAGTTGAAACACACGCCTCACCCACAGCTCATCAAAATGCGGACGCAGGAAACATGCTTGCTGAAGAATATGTTTATATCTGTGTGTCTATATATATATATATATATATATATATATATTTATAGTGAAAGAGAGAGAGAGAGACAGACAGACAGACAAACAGACAGATACATATATATATATATGTGTGTGTGTGTGTGTGTGTGTTTGTGTGTGTGTTTGTGTGCGTGAATAAAAAGACAAGAGGAAACACTATTCATAGCCAACGTGTTTCATCCTCTGAGGACTTTATCAAGGCGATGTAAGATTTATTTTGTTGCACGCGTTTATATTCAAAGGCGAAAATGTCATTGGTTTAGCAATACCTTAGAGGACAAAACGCGTAGGCTAAAAATATTTTTTTCTACTTGTCTTTTTGTTCATTCTGATCCTTTATATATAGACTATATTTTAAAATAATTTATGCACGCACACACACACACACACACACACACACACACACACACACACACACACACATATACATCTATAGATATTCATGAATTATTCATACAAAAACAAATGCAAAGGTTAATGATTTAATTGGCGAGAAATCCATCGTCGCAAACAATTCAAATAATATACAAAAAACCCCGAACCTGTTATGAAAAATTGGATAATAAGTACGACATTACTGTAATTATTGAACAATATAGTTCATGCCACTTTGACAGAAAATTTACCAGTAAAAAAAATTCGCTTATCATCATATCTGTACAAGAACGCACAACTGTAAAATTTAAAATCAAACTCAGCGTTGCTACTGCACGCTCCAAAAACAATAACTCATTTCCAATAGCATTTTTCGGATACAACAATACATATATTTTCGTTGTCCTCTTATTACTGAGAGAAAAAACAAGAACAACATCTATTCCATACCTGAAGATGTCTGTAGGAACAGACGAAAGCTTGTAGTAAAAATAAGAACTAATGCAGCAGAAATTTATAGAAACAAGGATATTTTCATTCATAACAGGTTCGGGGGTTTTTGTATATTATTTGAATTGTTTACGACGATGGATTTCTCGCCAATTAAATCATTAACCTTTGCATTTGTTTTTGTATGAATAATTCATGAATTTGTAAATTGATTGCACGTTTATCGAAATATATATATATATATATATATATATATATATATATATATATATAGTCATCCACAGACAGACTGTTTCGCTGTATCACAGCTCATCAGTGTGACTATACATCCTATAGCTTCAAGCCGGAATCGAAAAACGACCGATTTGGCATCAGTCAGTTTCTAATCTTAGGCTATTGTCGCATGGCAGAGTGAAATGGGAATTTTAAATTTTTTACTATACGAAATACGTCAGTGTCTAGGAGAGCTCGATTCAAGTAGAAGAGCATTGCATTAGCAACAGCAGCCACTGTTTATAAAATCAGACCTTCCTCTCCGAGAACTAAATCGAATTTATTACGAAACCATAAATAATCATCCACAGACAGACTGTTTCGCGGTATCTCTCACTATATATATATATATATATATATATATATATATATATATTAAGTCATTCTTATGTTTATACATTCTTTTTATAGATACAAATATTTAAGTAAATGATCTGTTTATAATACAAAACAAGTAAATAGAAACAGAAAAATAGACCTTGCTAACTGAATCGCTCCTCTGTGGCTCAATCGTTAAAGCACGTCAGGCTATATCACGGTTCCGTATAGGATACAGGTTCGCTTCCTGTCGGAGGACGTATATTTTCTCTGAGAATTTCCCGGAAATTCAGGCCGGTAAATGTCGTTAATACATCTTAGTCGCCATATTTATTACACTGTTTT